GATATTTTCTCTTTTTTGGACCATTCTCTGTAAACCCTAGAGATGGTTGTACATGCAAATCCCAGTAGATCAGCAGTTTTTGAAATACTCAGACCAGCTTGTCTGGCACCAACAACCATGCCACATTCAAAGTCACTTAAAACCCCTTTCTTCCCCATTCTGATGCTTGGCTTGAACTTCAGCAAGTCGTCTTCACCACGTCTGGATGCATAAATGCATTGAGTTGCTGCCATGTGGTTGGCTGATTAGCTATTTGTGTTACCAAGCAATTGAACAGGTGTAACTAATAAAGTGGTCGGTGACTATATAACTGCTTATTTCTCTACCCTAGACAATTCCTCTTTTCACTTAACCCAGTGTTCAGCATTAAATCCACTTCTCCATATCTATGCCTGGATGACGGTAAGAAACCAAAGTTCCTTCTTATCCTTCATTAGTAGTTGCTGTTAATCTCCCATCATAGCCAGCTTTGTTCCCAGTGTCTTCATTGTACTGGCAGGTATTATGTTCCTTCCTATGACTTGTGACTGACAAGAATACTTCTACACAGTTATGTTCCTGGGTAGTATAGGTCAGCGTTTCTTAAAGGGCAAATTCACCTTTAAAAAAAATAAAAATAAATTCAGCTGTTACAAATACTGTAACTGCTGACTTTTAAAAATGAGGTACTTACCAGCCCCTGGAGTCTGGCGCTGTCTTCCTGTAGTTGGATTTTCCCAACTGTCAAGACACCACAATCTAAAGTGTAAAAAAAACTTGTAAAATGTTGCTTATCAATTTGAAACTTGAGCCTGGGACAATGAACAGAACCAAAAATTTTACAATAGAAACCCCCTTAACATCAGAGATTACCCTCTTCTGATCAGAGGTCCCCTCAACACTACATCAGATGTTCCCTATCACATCAGAGGTCTTCCCATCACATAGGTGGCCTTCTATAAGTCAGAGAGCAACCCCATCAAAAACTCCCCTCATCACCTCAGAGTCTGCCCATCACAGAGTTCCCTCTTTCCATCAGAATCCTTATCTTATGGCTTCGGGAGCATGGCAGAGGGTAGGAGGAAGAACAGGTCTTAAAGAATGTGCACTACTGTCCTCTGCTGATGCTGGGTTGGTCCACTCAAGATCAATTTCATGTGTTACTATGGTGAGCTCAGGTTGGTTGCTAGAATCATAGCAACCAATGACACAATGCACCCTGGCCCAAGAGGGTCATTGGTTGTTATAGTGCTGGCGGCTGGCCTGCCTGCATCCTATTCAGGGCACTCTGGGTGAACCCAAACGGCATCCTGCTGGAGAAACACTGATATAGGTCATTCTAAGCGCAGTTGGATAGTGCCCTAGCAAATGGGTCCCTTTTTTTTTTTTTTTTTAACAGGAAAACAACAACAAATCGTTAGATAATTCACTGACAGGGGTCCATTTGCACAGGAAGAGAGACTAGGAAATACAGAAGTATACCTGAGGAGGTATAGGCTTCAATGGGGTGCAAATAATGTATTTGAAATGCAGGATAACAGAGGATCCTCTGGAGTCACTGCACATGACTGAATGCACTAGGATCACTGGTTGACGCAAAAGTGCAGGGGGTCACTGGAGAAGCTAAGGTCACTGGAGACACCAAAGCGCATAGGTCACTGGAGACACAGAAGTCTATGAAGATACGGGAGCTCAGGGTCACTGGGCTCGCTGAAGACACGAGTCACTATAGATAACAGATTGCATCAGTCACTGGAGACACGGGAATCTATGAAGAAATAGGAGTGCAAGGGTCAGTGTAGATGCTGGAGTCACTGGAGACACCAGAACACAGGGGTCACAGGAGATATAGGAGTTACTGTAGATGCTAGGGTCATAGGAGACACATTAGTCTCTGGAGACACAGATGACATAGGAGACACAGGTCACTGGAGATATAGGAGATGTAGGGAGTTGCTTGAGTGCACAGGAGTCGCAGAATCACTGAAGGCACAAGACTGCACATGAGTGCAGGGGTCACTGGAGGCACAGGAGTGTAAAGGTCACTAGAAATGCAGGGGTTACTAGTGGCAGAAGAGTACAGGGGTCTCCAGTATCAAAGGAGTGCAGGGGTCTCTGAAGGTGCAGGGGTCACAGTTACTAGAAAGAGGAGTACACCTGAGGCACAGGTAGATGGTAGAGACACGGACTTTGGCTCAGACATAACACTGCAGTCAAGCACTGATAAGTGTATTGCTTAGCTCTTTAAGACCACTTCTGCAATCTGATGAGAAATCCAGAAATGCTGGTGTCAGCACAGAATGGTGTGTATGACAAAGTAGATCACCTGTGGATTTGTTAGGAATGGCACCTAAACAACACACTCAACATACAGTACAGGTGAAACTCGAAAGATTAGAAAATCGTGCAAAAGTTCATTAATTTCAGTAATGCAACTTAAAAGGTGAAACTAATATATGAGAGACTCATTACATGCAAAGCAAGATAGTTCAAGCCGTGATTTGACATAATTGTGATGATTATGGCTTACAGCTCATGAAAACCCCAAATCCACAATCTCAGAAAATTAGAATATTACATGCAATTAATAAAACAAGGATTGTACATAGAACAATATCGGACCTCTGAAAAGTATAAGCATGCATATGTACTCAGTACTTGGTTTGAGCCCCTTTTGCAGCAATTACTGCCTCAAGCAGTGTGGTATGGAAGCTATCAGCCTGTGGCACTGCTGAAGTGTTATGGAAGACCAGGATGCTTCAATAGCGGCCTTCAGCTCTTCTGCATTGTTCGGTCTCATGTCTCTCATCTTTCTCTTGACAATTTCTCTTGATTCTCTATGGGGTTCAGGTCAGGCGAGTTTGCTGGCCAATCAAGCACAGTAATCCCACGGTCATTGAACCAGGTTTTGGGTGCTTTTGGCAGTGTGGGTAGGTGCCAAGTCCTGCTGGAAAATGAAGTCGGCATCCCCATAAAGCTCGTCTATGGAAGGAAGCATGAAGTGCTCCAAAATCTCCTGGTAGACAGCTGCGTTGACCCTGGACTTAATGAAGCACAGTGGACCAACACCAGCAGATGACATGGCTCCCCAAATCAACACAGACTGTGGAAACTTCACACTGGACTTCAAGCATCTTGCAGTGTGTGCCTCTCCATTCTTCCTCCATACTCTGGGTCCTTGGTTTCCAAATGAGATGCAAACGTTGCTCTCATCAGAAAAGAGGACTTTGGACCACTGAGCAACAGACCAGGTCTGTTTTTCTTTAGCCCAGGTAAGACGCTTCTGACGTTGTTTGTTGTTCAGGAGTGGCTTGACAAGAGGAATACGACATTTGAAGCCCATGTGTCCAGGATCCGTCTGTGTGTGGTGTGTCAGGAATGGACTGGCCAGCAATAGTGGGACTCAGCTGCCTTATGAGCTGCAGTACCAGGGCTGGCCAGCGGGTGCTCCCAGCAATCAGAGACTCAACCTTGCAGCCAGTCAAACACCTGGAACTAATTATACTGGTGTATTTAAGGGACATTCAGACCTGCAGACTCTGCCTTGGTGTTGTGTTTCTCTTGGGCCCTGTATCCTGTTCCTGCTCTCTGTTCCTGTCTGATTCTCTGCTGACCCTGCTCTGATCCCTGGCTTGTCTGACCATTCTCCTCTGCCTGACCCTCTGTACCACGCTGCCCGCTACCTGCTGAACCTGGCCTGTGACCCCGACCATTCTCCGCTTGCTCCCCCTGTACCTACCTGCCCGACTGATATTGACCCGGCCTGCCTGACGACGCTTGCATTGTATGTACTGTTATCTGTGGGTGGTTGGTTGGTTTGTTTGCACTGTGTTATGTTTTAGTATTGCACTGCGTTTATGTTTGTATGGTTAGTGTTAATAAATTACATTGTTTATAACATATCTGAAGTCTGCGTTTCCCTGCGTCAGTCACACACCTCTGGTCATACCCGGGAGCCCTGACATTACACCAAGGCCAATCCTGACCAGAAGTGGCTGCACAGGGAAGCCATCTTGGCTTGTTGATGGGAAGGATGGATCTGGATGAGGTTGCGTATTTATCTCTGCTAGTGTTTGATGACAGAGAGTATGCTTATCAAACTCTGAAGGAGTATACCCGGGATGAACTGCTAGAATGTATACGGCTCGCTCATGTTCTAGTAGATCAGGGCACAGAGTTGAGTTCTCTGAGGTGCAGCCTTTGATTGAGGTTTGTGCTGAGTTGGTTTCATCTGGTACCCCCGAATGCAGGGATGAATTTTTGCCACCATTTAGTGCAGACCAGGTAGAGTCCCTGGTATGGTTATTAGAGGATGATGTGGGTTACTTTCTGGAGCGGTATTCCACATGTTCACCACAGACACTAAGAGATTGTATAAACGCAGTGCAGTCTTTGGTCAGACAGGCTTTCTGTAAGCTCAGCTTTGTTCAACCCATACTGCAGACATGGACAGAGTTGTTGCACCCAGCCTCAGTCAGCTTACAAAGACCCAGTCCTGCTTCTAATTTATTTCCTCAAAACTCTATTCCTGCATTCCCAACAGCTCCTCCTGCCCTGCTATCTACCGCATGTCAGTACCCTGTTCCCACTCGCTGCACCTATCCTGCCTTTAACCCTGTAAAAAAGCCCTCTGTAGCAACTGCTCCCTCTCCTGTTCCATCCTCCAGTTCTTCTCTGTCTCCAGCTGCTCCATTCGTTTGCAGACCTGCGTTTACTTGCAGTGCTCCAGTAGTTTAAAACCAGAAAAAAGCGAAAATTCTTTCCAACCAATACCATCCTGCCAGTATCCAAACCGGTGAGCCTGCCTTCCGTGGTTCAGCCTGAAGCCTCTACTCAGCCTGAAGCCTCTACTCAGCCTGAAGCCTCTACTCAGCCTGAATCCTCTACTCAGCCTGAATCCTCTACTCAGCCTGATGCCTGTACTCAGCCTGATGCCTGTACTCAGCCTGATGCCTGTACTCAGCCTGATGCCTGTACTCAGCCTGATGCCTGTACTCAGCCTGATGCCTGTACTCAGCCTGATGCCTGTACTCAGCCTGATGCCTGTACGCAGCCTGATGCCTCTACTTGGCCTGATGCCTCTCTTCGGCCTGAAGCCTCTACTCGGCCTGAAGCCTCTACTCGGCCTGAAGCCTCTACTCGGCCTGAAGCCTCTACTCGGCCTGAAGCCTCTACTCGGCCTGAAGCCTCCTCTACTCGGCCTGAAGCCTCTACTCAGCCGGACGCCTCTACCCAGCATGATGAACTGATCCAGCCTGACGATCCTATTAGGCCAGTTGACTCGATGCCCGCTGTTGATCCAGATGATCCGGTACCTGATACGGTGCCCGCTGTCGTGCCAATTGACTCAGAGCCCGCTGTCGTACCTGGTGACTCGGTGCCCACTGCCTTGCCAGATGACGCGGTGCCCGCTGGCGAGCCAAATTACCTGATGCCTGGTGACCCAGTGCCCGCTGTCATGCCTGGTGACCCAGTGCTCGCTGTCGAGCCAGACAATCCGGTACCTGATGACCCGGTGCCCACTGTCGTGCCTGTTGACTCGGAGCCCACTGCCTTGCCAGATGACGCGGTGCCCGCTGTCGAGCCAAATGACCTGATGCCTGGTGACCCGATGCCCGCTGTCCAGCCAGATGATTCAATGTCTGCCCCAGTGCCCGCGGTCATGCCAGTTGACTCGGAGCCCCACTGCCTTGCCAGATGACGCGGTGCTCGCTGTCGAGCCAAATGACTTGATGCCTGGTGCCCCGATGCCCGCTGTCCAGCCAGATGATCCAATGTCTGACCCAGTGCCAGCGGTCATGCCAGTTGACTCGGAGCCCACTGTCGTGCCTGGTGACTCGGTGCCCGCCGCTTCGCCTGGGGGCCCGAGACCTGTCGCTCCGCCTGGGGGTCCGGCGCCCGCCACTCCTCCTGAGGGCCCGAGACCTGTCGCTCCGCCCGGGGGTCCGGCGCCCGCCGCTCCGCCTGAGGGTCCGAGACCTGTCGCTCCGCCTGGGGGTCCGGCGCTTGCCGCTCCGCCTGGGGGTCCGGCGCTTGCCGCTCCGCCTGGGGGTCCGGCGCTTGCCGCTCCGCCTGGGGGTCCGGCACCCGCCGCTCCGCCTGGGGGCCCGATGCCTGTCGCCCCGCCTGGGGGCCCGATGCCTGTCGCCCCGCCCGGGGGCCCGGTGCCTGTCGCCCCGCCCGGGGGCCCGGTGCCTGTCGCCCCGCCCGGGGGCCCGGTGCCTGTCGCCCCGCCCGGGGGCCCGGGGGCCCGGTGCCTGTCGCCCCGCCCGGGGGCCCGGTGCCTGCTGCTCTGCCTGGGGGCCCGATGCCTGTCTCCCCGCCTGGGGGCCCGATGCCTGTCGCCCCGCCCGGGGGCCCGGTGCCTGCTGCTCTGCCTGGTGGCCCGCTGCCTGCTGCTTCGCCTGGTAAATCCAATGTGCCTCTGCCCGGAGTCCAGCCCGATGTGCCTCTGCCCGGAGTCCAGCCCGATGTGCCTCTGCCTGGTGTGCCGCTGCCCGGAGTCCTGCCCGGTGTGCCAGTCTTTGATATCCCGCCAGTTACCAGACCCGGGCGGTGGAACATTTTGCCCAGCTAGGACTGTTTGGAGCGTCCTGAGGCCGCTCCTTGAGGGGGGGTACTGTCAGGAATGGACTGGCCAGCAATAGTGGGACTCAGCTGCCTTATGAGCTGCAGTACCAGGGCTGGCCAGCGGGTGCTCCCAGCAATCAGAGACTCAACCTTGCAGCCAGTCAAACACCTGGAACTAATTATACTGGTGTATTTAAGGGACATTCAGACCTGCAGACTCTGCCTTGGTGTTGTGTTTCTCTTGGGCCCTGTATCCTGTTCCTGCTCTCTGTTCCTGTCTGATTCTCTGCTGACCCTGCTCTGATCCCTGGCTTGTCTGACCATTCTCCTCTGCCTGACCCTCTGTACCACGCTGCCCGCTACCTGCTGAACCTGGCCTGTGACCCTGACCATTCTCCGCTTGCTCCCCCTGTACCTACCTGCCCGACTGATATTGACCCGGCCTGCCTGACGACGCTTGCATTGTATGTACTGTTATCTGTGGGTGGTTGGTTGGTTTGTTTGCACTGTGTTATGTTTTAGTATTGCACTGCGTTTATGTTTGTATGGTTAGTGTTAATAAATTACATTGTTTATAACATATCTGAAGTCTGCGTTTCCCTGCGTCAGTCACACACCTCTGGTAATACCCGGGAGCCCTGACATTGTGGCTCTTGATGCACTGATTCCAGCCTCAGTCCACTCCTTGTGACAGTCCCCAACACTTTTGAATGGCGTTTTCCTGACAATCCTCTCCAGGCTGCGGTCATCCCTGCTGCTTGTGCACCTTTTTTTCTTCCACAATTTTCCCTTCCACATAACTTTCTATTAATGTGCTTTGATACAGCACTTTGGGAACATCCACCTTTTTTTGCAATTACCTTTTTGAGGCTTTCCCTCCTTTTATGGAGGGTGTCAATGATGGTTTTCTGCACAACTGTCAGGTCAGCAGTCTTTCCCATGATTGTGATTCCTACTGAACCAGACTGAGAGCCCATTTAAAGGCTCAGGAACCCTTTGCAGGTGTTATGGCTTAATTAGCTGATTAGAGTGGGACACTTTGAGCCTAGAATATTGCACCTTTTCACAATATTCTCATTTTCTGAGATTGTGAATTTGGGGTTTTCATGAGCTGTAAGCCATAATCATCACAATTATGACAAATCACAGCTTGAACTATCTTGCTTTGCATGTAATGAGTCTATCTCATTTATTAGTTTCATCTTTTAAGTTGCATTACTGAAATAAATGAACTTTTGCAAGATATTCTAAAGTTTGAGTTTCGTGTGTGTGTGTGTGTGTGTATAGTTACATAGAGAGGTGGACCTAATAGAGATTTCATAACCATACCAAAAGCACACAAACACAGAACCATGTCAGGTTACTGTATCATTGGAACATTCCAACCAATGATCCAATTTTATCCTTTTTACTCCAAATCACTGCGCTATCAACCAATTCTAAATGTTACGGAGAGTTGAGAATCCATTTATGTGACCACAAGGCTGTTAACCTAAAAATGTCCTATACTAATACTGTAACGAGGCAAAAGACTGCTCACATCTAGACACCTGGAAATTTTAAAGTAGAACTATAGGCACATTTTTTTTTTTTCCATTTTGGATAGAACAAGGAGGGTTATGCCCCCTGTCAGACTTTTATGCCATCTGTGTCCTATTTCAGAAATGTCACTTTTTGTACCAATCCCAAACAGGAAGTGAGAGGAATCTGTTCAAATTAAAGGAATTCCTTGAGGACCCCCAGGTCACCAGACCTAGTGTCCTCATTGGAAGATTTCTCCTGTATTTGGAACAACCCAAAATGTGGGATTTTCTTTTGATTTCACTTTTAATGATAACGGTAAACGGTAAACAGGACAAATAGAGATAAATCTCCTTAACTAGGTGGCAGAGACAACAATAAAAACTGACAAGTGTTCTTATCCCTCTCCACTCCCCCAAAAGTAAAAAAAAAAGTGTTTTGCCTTTTTACTAGTTATACTTTATTTATTTATTTATCGAGTTTATATAGCGCCAAAGGGTTTGCTCAGCGCTGTACAATAGAGGGGGGACAATACATGAAACAGTACAGTAACATCAAACAGCACACAAGGGGTAAGAGGGCCCTACTCTTTTGAGCTTACAATCTAGGAGGGAGGGGGTAGAGGTACAGGAGGAAACGGCTGTGGGGGATGGAGTGGTAGGAGGAGGGAAGGGCAGCGGCTGTTAGGTGAGGGTGGGGTAGGCTTCCCTGAAGAGGTGGGTTTTCAGGGAGCGCCTGAAGGTGAGGAGGGAAGGTGACAGTCTGATGGATTGGGGTAGTGAGTTCCAGAGGATGGGGGAGGACCTGGAGAAGTCTTGCAGTCGTGCGTGGGAGGAGGAGACCAGGGAGCAAGATAGAAGGAGGTCCTGTGAAGAGCGAAGGGTACGGGTAGGGTGGTACTTGGGAATCAGGTCGGTGAGGTAGTTAGGGGCAGTGTTGTGAATGGCTTTATAGGTCAGAGTGAGCAGTTTGAATTTAATGCGTTGGGCAATGGGGAGCCAGTGGAGGGAGAGGCAGAGGGGGGTGGCAGAGGTGGAGCGGCTGGTGAGGTGGATGAGTCTGGCAGCTGAGTTCAGGATGGTCTGAAGCGGGGAGAGTTTGCACTGGGGTAGGCCGATGAGGAGGGAGTTGCAGTAGTCCAGGCGTGAGATAATCAGGGAGTGAACGAGTAGTTTAGTGGTGTCTGGGGTAAGGAAGGAGCGTATTTTGGCGATGTTGCGAAGGTGGAGCCTGCATGTATTTGTGAGTGATTTGACATGAGGTTGGAAGGAAAGGTTTGAGTCCAGAATGACGCCAAGGACCTTGGCTTGCTGGGCGGGATTGATGGTGGTGTTGTTGGTAGTGATGGAAAGGATGGGGGGGGGGGGGGGGGGCACGGGAAGGGGGAAAGACGAGAAGCTCGGTTTTGGAGAGGTTGAGTTTGAGGAAATGGAGCGACATCCAGTCAGAGATGTCGTTTAGGAGGTGAGTGATGCGGGCGGAGAATGTGGGGGTGAATAGGTAGATTTGAGTATCATCAGCATAGAGGTGGTAGTTGAAGCCGTGGGAGTGTATGAGTTTGCCAAGGGAGGAGGTGTAGATGGAGAAGAGAAGGGGTCCAAGGACAGAGCCCTGGGGGACCCCAACAGAGAGGGGGAGGGAAGAGGAGGTGGCGCCGTTGTAGGAAACGCTGAAGGAGCGTTTTTTTTTCCATTTTCCACTTTCCAGTCCTCATTTCCACACCACTGTCTAGATTGGCAACTGCCTTTTAATGTGGATGCCACCTCATCAACCAAGTTCTGAAAGTGGAACCACTTATCCAGTATGATGACCTAAAACATAGAATAAAATGTATCCTAACGTGAAACTCAACCCAAAATGTGAAGATTTAGGATACTGTAGGGAACATCTTATTATTGTTAATTGTACATAAGCAATACCTTGAAAAATTAACTTTTTACCTTGAATTCCTGCTGTAAAATAACTGTACACTTCATAGTTTGAGTATATCTAGGAACTACTGTGCCAACAGCCTTACAGCTGTATATCAGCATTGTAAGATCTAAGGCTTTTTTTTTTTAACAGCTGGTCTCAGGAGATTTTGAGTAAATTTGCTGATGTCATTACTGTACTACTCCCTGTTCTACTTGCTAGAGGCTCTGACATGAAGAAGCAAATCCCTGCCTCTATAAAGACGGCTGCCTTCACACAAACACAGGGCAGAACAAAGCATGATATATCAGTAATGGGGAGAAGATCAGCAGAAGGTTGAGCACAGGCAATACTGGTCACCAATCCTTTGCGCTCTGCCTGTCTTTTTTGGCACATTTTCTTTATTTCTGTTCCTAATAAAAGGGGTCTTTGCCTTGCGGTATTAATATACAAGTTAACCATCTATAATTAGGGATGAGGAAACTGGCCCATTTTCAAGGCCAATATGTAAGCTGTTGTTGAAAAAGGGGGCATGAGGAGCTGGGCAATGCTATGGACATCTACCAATAAAAGAAATGTTTTTTAAAAAACATTCAGTGAGGAGAGGGACTTTAGCAATAGCCCCTGAAAGACCTGCTGGATTTTAAGGGGCTCTCCTGCTTTCCCTATTATCAAATTACCACAGACTCACCTATCCAATGATGGTGACTGACAG